AATCCGTGCTGCGTGTAGTTGCAATTTCTCTAATTTTTCAGAGTCGATAGCTAGACAACCACCCCATACAACTGAAGCGTATTCGAGCTGAGGGCGGATAAATGAAGTATACATGAGTGAAAGAGTCTTTCGATTTATTTTAAATTTAAGTTTTTTTAATAGACCAATTTTTTTGTATGCATTAGACAGTAAGATTTCAATGTGAGTTGACCAACTTAAGTTAAATGAAAAATTTACCCCTAAATGTTTATGAGTTTGAACATATTCTAATTGGCTATCTTGGAATAGGAGTTTGGGAGGTTCTATGTTTTTTCTTGTGCTAAAAAATACAACCTTAGTTTTGGATGGATTAAATTTTAGTAACCATTTGTTTGACCACTCTTCAAGAGATAAAAGATCATTATTAATATTACTTTCTATAGATTTAACACATTTAGATGCGTACTGCAAACTGTTATCATCAGCGAATAATCTACAAAAGCTTGACATCTTGTCAGATACATCATTTACATAAATTAAAAATAATAATGGACCTAATACAGAGCCTTGTGGAACGCCGGCATATAAGGAAGCCGAAGGGGATACCAAATTTTTGTAAATAACTCTTTGTGTTCTATTTTCTTAATAACTTTTTAACCAAAAGTACATATTACTCTCTATGCCATACATGTTTAGCTTAAACAAGAGCCCTTTGTGCCAGACACGGTCAAAGGCCTTAGATAAGTCACAAAAAATCATACAACTGGATTTACCATCATCAATATTTCTAACAATATTATCGTATGTTTCTAACAATTGATAAACCGTAGAATGACCAGGCAAGAAACCAGCCTGGTATTTGTAAAAAATATTATTACAATGAAAGTAGTTATACAAGTGTTTAAATACAATACGTTCCATGACTTTACCAACACAACTTAACAATGAAATAGGTCTATAGTTTGACAAAACAGCTGGATCGTCTTTTTTAAAGAGAGGAATAACATTAGCTAATTTCCATTTTCGAGGAAAAACAGTCTTTCAATGAGCGATTAAACAGTAAACATAGAGGTTTGACAACAGTAAGTTTTGTTGATTTTAACATTTTATGACTAATACAGTCTTCTCCAATGGCTTTGTTAACAGGTAATATAGATAAAATATCAAACACTTCTTGTTCACAAATAGAAATATTGTCAAAAACACTATCACACTTAGTAATTTCTTCAGGTAAATCAGACTTATCATCATCAACACGGGTAACTGAAGCAAAATAATTGTTAAGTACTGTTATCTTATCTACATCAGAAAAAGCAAAATTGACATCACCAGATGCAGATGTGTATTGTAAAGGAGGAATGTCTGTAGTTGATTTAGTTTTAAAAGTATCTTTAAGAAGTTTCCAATAAGGTTTAGGAATCAACGAGTTGTAACTCGAGAGTATTTTGATAATTTTCAATAGCATGTTTTTTCATGTTGTTAAACTTGTTTCTGATACGCTTAAAATTATCCCAATCGAGCTGTTTATTACTTTTTTGTGCTTTTCGTCTTAATCTATTTTTTTCTCGATGGGTTTTCCTTAATAATGAGTCAAACCAAGGTTTGTCTTTAGGTCTTATAATAACTGATTTTTCAGGTACACATTCCCTTACGAGATCTATATATTTGGTTGTAAACTTTTCGGTAGCTTCGTCAATTGATTCAGCATTACAGATAAGATTTTTCCAGTCAGTAGTTTCGATTAAAGTATTAAGTTTTTCCATATTAGCATTTTTATAATCCCATATTTTCCTTACATAAGATTGACTTTTAATGATACTTGATTTTAAGAAGACGTATGTCGCTTTGTGATCGGTAAGTGTATTGTCTGTGTCTATCACGCCTGAGTGGAGTGCTACAATGTCTGGGCTGATCAAAACTGGGTCAATAAGTGTGTTCGAAGTGTTGGTAATTCGTGTTGCTTCGCGGATTGTGTTTGTCAGGTTATGATTCAGCATGATATCTTTAATAGGAAGTATCCGAGAATTGTCCAGAAAATCAACATTTAAATCTCCTACAATTATAAATTTGCTGGAAATATCCGATACTTTTTCAATTGACCACAAAAATTTGTCCCAGAAGGATTTTTCGCTGTTGGGTGGACGATATACGCAGCAAAGAAAAAGGTTACAGGTAGGTTCACTTATTTCTATCCAAACACATTCAATTGATATGGGTTCAAGGTCACTACGACGAATTGCACGGAGACATGAAGAAACATAGATAACAATGCCTCCCCCATTAGAGTTCCTATCTCTACGAAAAATTGTATCATAACCTTCAATCACGATATCGTTGTTACATACATTTGAGTCCAAATGTGTTTCAGTGAAACATAAAATATCGAAATCAGTGATTAATGTTGTTATATTTTCAATCTTGTGACGTATACTTCTTATATTTAAATGAAAGACGTCCAGTGTGTGTATTTGATCGTTTTTAGGACCTGGATTTATTTCATGAAGTCCATTTTTGTTTTACATTATGGTATTGAAAATAAGGTGTAAATCAACATATTTTCTAATTTTATTTTTATTTTTAAAAAAGTTTTGAAAAACAGACTGGATGGAATATTTTCATTCACATTTTCTTATATGATTCTTCTCTTTCATATGAATCTAAATTAATAATGCAGTAGTAATGTCGAAGGATTTTTCGACAAATTTTTTCATTGCTGTTTATCATTTTATACAACGCCTAGTTTGGGTATATCAAAGATTGAAAAAGAGAGAAATCTCGTGTTTGACTGATGAGTGTAAATTTTGAGAGTGATGCAGATAAGCACCAGGAAGGATAAACAGAATATATTCTGATAACAGTACTTAGAGCTAAGTTCTCATCAAAGAACAGTTACTTTTGCTGATTTTTTTTATTGAAAGACTGATATGGATATATGCGAAGCATCCCGAGGAAAATTGGAGTGTCGAGTGAAGTTCTTTAATTGCAAGCTGATTAATTTTGCTTTTAAATAAAAATATAACTGTCCTACAATACATTGCATTGTAATGCTTGATGTACTGTCTATAATTAAAACATACTTGGTCAATTTTTATTATTAGGCAAAACAGTGAAAAAAATAAACTTTCCTGATTGACTGATGAGTGAAGATTTTGAGACTCAAACAAAGCGCCGATGACTTTGTAGAACAATCAAAACGCTTTTCAATACTGCTTAGCAGTACTTGTTTAGTGAGATAAGCTCACACTAAGTCCTTTACACGCGACATTACCCGTAACCGTTATTTACTCTGACTTTAACACATGGTCATTTGTGAATGTCTCTCTAACGTCTTATATATAGTATACAAGCCTGTTACTCGATAGCATTGCTTAAACATTTACATAATATAAAGCAGAAATTAATGATCGTTTTGTCTACGTTGTTCAAAGGGACATAATTTGAGTTATCGAACTTTGAAACAAAACTTACATTATGCAAATTTCCAAATAAACATTCAATCACAAGGACAAATTGTATATAAAAGCTGTCTTTGGAAGATGGATGGTGGGGAATATTTCTAATACACTGACAAGTAAAATAATTGTGCTTGTTTAAATACAAGTAGAATTGCACCATGCTGCACTCTGCTGCAATACAATGCGATACACTGTGATGCCTGCCAAATTGACTAATCAAAGTTAACTTGGTCATTTTTTTTTCTTAATTGAATTTATATATGGTTTTGTAGATTAATTATCGTAATCGTAGAAGACAATGGTAATAAACAGTTTGTCAGTGCATTTCCTCTGGAAGTGTAAATGAGTGCGATTCGGGGGGGGGGGGGGGTTACTCTATGTAATTCGGAAATGAATACCTTGTGTTATTATTATACTGTGGGTTTAAAAAATTATTACCGAAACAAATTCCCGTGGCTTGCAGATTTTAACACTTGTCGGTATTGCTAATGCTAATGCAAAGTGAGGTCAAGGTCAAAGGAAAGGTCAAGGTCAAAAATGTTGATGCGGTTGAATAGCTCTCATCAGTATGTATCAGCATATGAAATTTATTAGAAAATGCTTGTTTAATTAAGTTTTGTTTCTATTTATTTGTTGTTTTTTTTTCAATTCTTTATTCACTCAAAAGCAGATCACTGGTACAAGAGGAACATATACACATATATACAAACAAAAATTACAGTCAAGGGTCAAAAAACAGACAAGTATATAAAGAAAAAAGAAAAGAAAGTAAACATATAATCAGTTATATATACGGAGGATTCAAGAGGGACAGGCAGTTTTGAAGATTTTCTTAATAAATTTTGACAATGATTTTTGTATTTCTACATTATTTGTGTTCATTAGTTCATCAAATTTGAAAGTGTTAGGATTTTTACAATATCTACTTTGGAGAAATATTTTTCTGTCATTCGAAAAGAACCTGCATTCCATAACATAATGAAATTCATCACCAATAGTTTTACGATCACAAATGGTACATATTCTTAATTAAATTTCTATCAATATTATTCCATCTACCTGTTTCAACTGGCAAATGATGATTACACGTTCGTAGTTTTGTAAGTGTAACTCTTAAACCTTTTGGTAAATTCAGCAGATAATTTTCGAAACCAAAGTTTGTTTTAAAAATTCTATAATTAATACACTTGGGTGAACTATCAACAATGCTTCTCCATTCTTGTTCAAATTGATTTTTTAGGGTATCTTTAATAATTGACTTAAGCCAGTTAAAACTATGAAATGTTTGACTTGTCCATATATAAGACAATCCACAAGAATTAAGCACATCTTGTACACATTTTATCCATGGATGTACAAACGACCCATCGATATAACACCTATAAAAATATGAATAAATCACATCTGTAAGCTTACTTTCATGGGCTGTTAAAATTTTTGCCCAGTACATAACCATTTTTTAATTTTATAAATACATGTAATGACAGTGGATATCTACCTGTTTCTCCATACAATTTGGAGAACTAGATTTAAGAATAAGAATAAATTTCAGGAAATTTAAGTGCACTTTTTCTATTATGTCTAAATTTTCATATCCCCAGACTTCACAAGAATAAAGTAAAATTGGGTTGATGACTTTATCAAACAAGTCTAGCTGACAATTAATTGGTAAATTAAAATAGTGAATTTTACGTAAGACTCCATACATTGCTTTTGAAGCTTGTTCTGCTATGTTTTTTTGCATTATTAAACTTTCCACTTCTTGACAGGAATAAACCCAAGTAACAGAATTCTCTCACATTTTCAATAGCCACACCATTATATAAAAATTTACGTTTTGCCATCGGACCTTTAGAAAATATAAGGACTTTTGTTTTGGCTATGTTAACACGGAGTTTCCATATATCACAGTATTCAGCAAACACATCAAGAGACTTTTGTAAATCAGAAGCAGATTCGGACATTAAGACCGTATCATCAGCATAAAAAAGTATACATAGTTTCAACATAACAAACATGTCATCTTGCATTTGTTGACTAGGACATGTAAAGCCATTTATTTGATTTCTGGTTAAATAATCCTCTAGGTCATTAATGAACAATGAAAATAAAAAAGGTGATAAATTTTCCCCTTGTCTTACACCGACATTACACATAAAAAAATCTGATAAGTGTTGACCTATTTGTACTTTTGATTTAATACCCTTATACATGTTTCTAATAAATCTGAAACATTTTCCATCAATTCCACTTTGTAAAATTTTAGTCCATAGACCATGTCTCCAGACCGTATCAAAAGCTTGCTTGAAATCTACAAAGGCACAGAATAACTTCTTTTTATTATTCAGGGCATATTTACTCAGAAAATCAATAACAAACATATTGTCAGTAGTAGAGTAACCTTTCCTAAAACCTGTTTGAGATTCATTGATTAACTCTACCTCATCAGCAAAAGTATTTAAACGGTCACAAAGTATACTGGTAAAAAGTTTTCCTACACAACTGAGTAACGTAATTGGCCTGTAATTTTCAGGATGGCTTCTGTCACCTTTACCCTTATAAATAGGTTTAACTAACCCTATTAACCAATCCTCTGGTATTATGCCACTATCAAAAATCATATTGAATAATTCTACATACAGCGGCAGAAATCTTGAAATGGTTGTTTTTATATACTCGTTCACAACATAATCACCACCAGGGGTTTTATTTGTTTTTAACTTGTTTACTGTATTCTTTATTTCTTCACATGTGATAGATTGATTAAGGATACTATCATTACTTTAAGTCTACGTTAATATCTATGTCATTAACTGGGGCAACGCCTTCATTTGTTTTCTTCAAAAAATCAAACATAGAATTTATATCAACACTAGTTTTATTTTTCGGATTTGAGCTGTTCAAAATATGCCAATATTCTTTCGGTTTTCCTTTTTGAAGTGTTTTGAGCTTATCCGAGATTCCATTATTATATTCTTTAATACATTTGTCCATAATTCTTTTATATTCTTTACTCTTATTCTTTAGATTCTCCAGAGATTTAACTGATTTTTCTTTATTATTTTTAAAAAGCGTTTGGCCAAATGAAATTTTCTTCTAGCCGTGCGGCAGTTGTTATTAAACCATGGTTTATTTTTGTTATTTAACTTCTAGGGTGGTTGATTTTTTCGTCTAAAAGTCTTCCCCGCTGAAGCAATAAAAATGTTACAAACTTCACTGGTAATTTTATCTATATCATGTTGAATTACAGATTTCCCTTTTAATATTTCAATACTGCTCAAAACTTTAATTTTTCATTATCAATATTATTTGTAATCGATATAATATTTTTTTTCTTATTTTTTTTAATTTAAAATTTTAATTTTTTAAAATTTTAATTCGTAATTTAATTATGTTACCTTCAGTTATCAATGAATAAAATACTTTTCATAAAGATGACCTCAATATTTTAACCCTCGTTTATCTAAACTTTTTACAGTTTATTCAGTTCAACTTAAAGATTAGTAAAAACTAACTTTCGAAACTATCAAGTAGGTCCCATTGACGGAAACTTTTATGAAATGACTAGTATAGTATGTTATTACTCTGTACCTTAAGGCCCTAGATAATTTTGTCGCAGTGTCTTTTATCCTTGGTCATGTTGACAGTTCCAAGTCTCATTTCTGTCTCATTTTTATAATTCTTGAGAATGTTGGACCATGGATTGTTAAGATCGTTACTTAATTTCTTCATATAATATAGAAGGAACAAAACAGGTTAAACTTTATTGGTTACAATTAACATAAATGGTTTTCTTCTGTTGTTCAAAAGAGGCTCCTTGCTAGTGCTGTATGATATCGAGTGAATTTTTTTTTAAAAATATGTATATTTGGAAAAACATAGTTCACATTTTAAAAAGAAAATTACAAAACATCCTGCCATATACCATGACCATGCAGCCTCCATCAATAAACTCAACCAAGATGTTTGTATGTTAATAAAGAGAAAGAATATCAATGAGAAATGTTGAAGACTCGTTTCATTGTCAACACAGTATCATTGTGCTCTCCCTAGTGGTGTATCTGATCATCGCAGGCCGGTGTTCCAAGAGTCACTACAATTCAACAAGATTGCCGCATCCGATCACAGGATCAACAGCTAGAGAGATTATCAAAGAATTAAGTCATCAGTAATCCGGCGCCGGTCTGCGTGAAAATGGACTTTTTTTGCCAGGCTATCTTACAAAGGTCTTATTTTCACACACCGCCAGCACCAAGAATGTTGGGCCCTGACGTCTCAGAACATTCTACCTTTGATTTCAGTTATAATCAACTGTTATTGTTTATACATACTGATATTTCTATTATTGGACTTTTACATTCGATGGCTTACTTTGACATTTAAACCTGCCTTATGTACGGATGATTTACCGGTATGCAATCAATGCAAGAGATGATGAGAGGCAGAATTACATACCTTAAATTACCTTATTCGTGAGTAGTTAGTACCTCCTTTCAATCTAGTTTTTCTGAAGGAAAGAAATAAGGAAGAAAAAATAAGCAAGAATTGGTCAATGTGGGAATGGAGGAGGTTGAGGGTAGGGTGGATGCCGATCCCTTCCTACACAACGTAATATTTGCTTTAAAATGGCCCATTATCATCGTTTAATTTTAACTCTTGAGCTTAAAGCTGACATGAATTCTTAAAAACGCAACATTTGCATCAATGTACGACTTGTTTCATACCAACTATTCCGCCATATTTCTTTCAGATACCTTGTCTTATTGTAACGATGTATACCCCAGTGCCCTCGTTACACTTGAGTGAATTTTTGGTTTGGCTATCGACGCGTGCACATCTCCGATAGTAAAGTATTTTGGGAACACATGAATTGATGAAAACATTTTAAAACCAGAACAGATAAAAACAGTCATAACGATAATTATGAATAATAACAAAAATGCAAGTTTGGAAGAAAAAACATTAATTGTTGCGCGTGTTTTTTAAAAGCATACCAATATATGCACAATAAACTTGAAATAATACACAGTAAAACTCGTACAAACAATTTGCAATAATCTATCGTAAGAATGGAACAAACCACCACTCCACCAGCGTATTTCCTATGCATGTCCATATGCATTCAAATACAATTGGTGCATATCGAGAGAACACGTCGAACACCGTAAACTTATTCATACCTGGAAATAGACCACCGTACCCGTTCGAAGATGTGCACATGCCGAATAATTTACACCTTGTATTCCATTTATTGAAATATGCATCACAAAAAAGTAATAAACTCCATAAATACTCAACAGTAAACACGTTGTCACTTCATCGTACAGCCTAGCACTCGAATACGCTTAGTCCGTGCTGATCAGATTTTGGTCAGGGAGAATATCAAAAGTGAAAAAAGGGAATTAGTATTTGCGCGACTGGGTAAAAAAAAGAAATCACTAAAAAAAAAATAAATAAATAAAAAAAAGGTCTAATTGCTGATTTGCTAAAAACTAAATTGAGTAATTTGGTGTGAAAAAAAGATTTAGAACACGACATGAGAGCATTTAACCAGAACACAAATTAACAAATATACACATACGTGGAGCGCGGGGGGGGGGGGGATACTCCCTTTTCTCAGAGTGTCTTTCAGGCACGTAGCATCTAAGAAATAATTGACACTTTACCTGAAAAATCTTTGACAAGCAAAAAAAAAAAAAAATAATAATAAACATTACAATAATAATAATAATAAAAATACACTGTAAATTAAAAATTAAAAAATAAAATATAAAAAATCTCCAAAATCCTAATTTGTGGCGGGGGTGGGGGACAACTTTTTCGAGGATTTGACTATAGTGCAACAAAAAGTGGAGGAGATCAGCCTTTGAGTATGTATTTCATACTAAACAGTAAAACATTATGCTCGAAAAAAGGGGGCATCCCCCACCCACGCGTTCGACAGAAATTTTAAGACCGGCTGCCCCCCCCCCCCCAACTCTAATCCAACATTATTGTACACTGTACTCAAATATTTTTCTGCCGAAAATGATAGTATGAATGGAATCTGTCCCTCCCCCTGACTACGGATTTTTTTTAAATGCCTGTTTTTCTTCTTCACTTCCCCCAATTTTTAAGTGCCTAAAGTTTTTCTTTTGCTTGACAGTCATTTTACTGCCCCCGCTCCCCCTCGCATACACACATTTTGAGAAACGGTGCTACGTGCCTGTTTTATATGCATGTATAGAAAGTCTTTCCAGATTGGAGAGTATCCGCAGGTAGTCTAAAATTTGGTACCTATTCAATTTCTTGTATTTTGAGAAAATCTTAAAAGATAGTTTAAGGATTACTTAAAACCTAAACCGCAAGACTATGGATAAATATTTTGTGCATTTTCAATACAAGTATACTCTCTCTCTCTCTCTCATGTGTAAGCATCCAAACATGTAAGAGTAATAATGCATATAAAATCCGATGTTGTAAAAATCTTGGGAAATGATATAATCTTTATAAGGGCAGATCGAGGAATTTTTCTGGGGCAGGGTGGATCAAACCTGCTGAAAAAATTGTCTCCTTTTTTTGACAAGCCAAAAGAAAAAGAAATGAAGAAAAAAAAACCCCTACACACCCAAACGAAAAGGGACACAAATTTATTGTGAAAACTATATTTCACGGGAATGGAAACATGTGGACCCTTCTCATGTACTTTCCAGAGGAAACAAATTCATTTTTTTTGTTTCTTTATACCCCCGAAGAGCACAGAGGGTTCCTACCAGAAATTTTTTAACCAGAAAAAAAAAACAATATCAAAATGAAAAAAAAAACTTTTGTGTGTGTGTGTGTGGGGGGGGGGGGGGGGGGCACTGTCAGGGGCACATTGTTTTCCTTTCCTATAAACTTTGACTATTAATTATATAATATTTAAAGAAATAATACACATGCACGCAACCATATTTTAATCATTCAGTCACATCACAAAATTTCTTTATATATCTAAAACGTGTAAATATGTGTATAGTTGTTTAAAAAAAACTTATGTAATGTAATAATAGTTCTTTTGCATCGCCTCGTGATATCTTTGGCAATGCGTGCGAGGATTGTTGAATCACACGACATCACATTTGGGTACACGGTAGAACTATTTCACTTATCAATATTACTTTCACATATATTAATAGTGTAATACTTATTCAACTTCAATATATACAAAAACATGTACTGTAGATTATTTTATATACACATAATTATGTCTGTGCTTGTTCGTAATTGTATCAATCGTGCTTGTAATTTGTGACGCCTAAAAGTCGAAAATGTCTACAGAAACAAATTGTTCAGTGTGTGTAAATTTAAGATATATCAGTTTTATATCTAAAATAGTTGAGGCCAGTTCATTGCAAGTATTTAAATATATTTGATCAAGGAAAATCCGACCTTTTTCCGACGTTTGTTTAAAATATATTGAAAAATGTATTCTACATACCCCCCCCCCTTTTCATTTTCTTTAAAAGATGTAAGATCCGTAACAAGAATGTATGTTTATGTAATAAATTTGATGTAATGAAGCCACATTCATGAACATATTTACCACATGTACCGACAACAGTTAGTTCGATTTCTGAAACGTTTTATTTGCGTGACTATATTGTCTAATCAGGCAAATACCAGTGTCATTTCCACCTTCGATATTTTCCCTGACCAAAAATGCTGATCGGCAGGGACCATGTGTATTCAAGTGCTAGTGACAATTTGTTTACCGTTGAGTTACAAATGGAGTTATTTCTTCTGTGATGCATATTTCAATAAAAGGAAAATAGGAAGTAATTCTGTCGACCTGTGCACATCCCTGTAGCGATAGCTGTATTTCAGGCAGATGAGTATAAAGCGTTCGACGCGTTTTCTCGGCATGCATGCATGCATGTATTACTTCAATGCGTAAGTTGCAAAGTATGTGCTTATACCGTGTAGCATGCATAAAGCTCAATAGTACAGTGTTTTTTTTTTTGGGGGGGGGTGAAAAAAAATGCATGTGGTAGCTTTTTTATTGTTCAAATATAAATGTAATGTATATCAAACATGCATTTGCCGTTTTGATTTTTATGCATTGCATCAAAATTATTCAAAATTTATATACTCCTTACCAGTTTTCAGTAAAATTCCTAGTTTTGGTAGGATTGTTAGATTTATTGCATGTTCCAAAGCTTTATCGGAGATGTGTACAGGCCTACATGTTTACGGTCAGTTCATGACGTGTTCCAAAACTTCGCTATCGGAGATGTGCACATGCCGACAGCCAGGCTAGAAAATCACTCAAGTGTAAAAAAGGCATCAGGGTTTATATAGCCGGTAAAATAAGTGAACGAATCTGAAAGAAATATGGCGGAAAAAGGGAGTACGGGAATGAAATAAGTCGTACAGGGATGAAAATATCACATTTTTAAGAGTTCATGTCAGCTTTAATGTTTATATCGCAAAAGAGCTTCCGTATAATGCCCTAGTGTAAAAGTAAGTCGTCGTTGTAAAAGTCAGCGCTTCTCGCAAAAGTCGATTACTACTACAAATAGAATGTTTCAATGGTCATTTTATTATAAATTTTAAAATATTCTTGTTTATTCATACGAAACAGAGCCTTTATTCTGAACATATCTGTGATGTACACTATACTAAGTTCGGAGTATATTTTTGGAGATATACAAGCACGCAATATTGTCTCCATTCAAACTGTCTAAAAAAATCTTCAAATGATCAACTCCTACCAATGTCAAATGCCATGTCTTCAGTCTTGCCAAAGAAATTTTTCATCATTTGTTAGAGCATGTAAATGTCGCATGAAAGGAGTATAAAAACTGTCCAACAAACGCTTTGTTTCTAACATCATATTACCAGATTTTTTCTTTCTCTTTGTTTTGTACACTTTTTCTGCTTCAGATATTTCATTCAGCTTCTGTTCTGGTAGTTCGTCTAAAATACAGATAGTTATACTCATACTTTTGATAAAATGATGATAATGTCTGAACATGCAAGCGGACTAATGTATACGACTATTTTAAACATGCTCACCAACTCCAAGGAATGAGAAGACTGTTTTCAGAGTGCCTTTAATGTTTCTGGAATAGTCTTCTGTTCTCAGAAACAGAAAGTTAATCGAGTCAAACACCTTTAACCATTCCTCAAGGAACACAGAATAGATCCCCACATGTAGACGGACCTTTAAAATGAACGGATATATGGTTTAATAAAGGAATTAATCTCACTCCAGATTTAAATATCAGCGGCGATATAAACATACCGGCATTTTAACATGGAGTTCCCTGTTAAATAAACATACTCGTAAAGTGTGTTTTTTACGGCAGTTGTTAAACATGGTAATGGATTTCACAACTTTCCCATGAAAAGCTTTGGGGGTAGGTTCTCCAAGCTTCAGAAAAATGTAATCAGAAAATAACCTGAAAGTCGAGTAGTCTGTAACCAATATCTATTGATATGAAGTTATTATTATACGTAGACCAATAGTTAAATTAAAAAAAGAACTATAATGCCTCATCAGCTAAATTTACCTCTCAGATGGCTGTCTAAATATCAAAATAAACTTAAGATAGGGATTGAAGTATTTCATCAAATGAGGAGTTAATATTTTAGGATCTTGAAGACCAACATTTTGTGGAATTTGTGGCCATCCCGAAAAATCCCAGAAATCCATGGGTGTACCATCACCTGTAAAGGTGTATATATAGTTATTCCAATGAGCATGCGTCGTCGATTGTACTAGGACGTCACATTAATTCACTGAATTCATGCTGTTGGATATCCTACCCGTGATCAATTCATAATCATTATCAACATTTCCAATCTGTGAAGCAGCAGATTCAAAATAAGCAAGGTAGTCTTTAAAAGTTTCCTTCTTTGGCAGATTCCGAAGCAACCAATGACCTTTGCAAAACACCAGAAGCAGAAGTCTAATTTAAGTAAGCTTAAAGGGATACAAATGCATATACATGCTACCTATTATTGTCATACATGCCACCTATATTTGTTTTTATAGCAATAACATATAAACACACACCAAATAAACGAACAGCATTGAAAGCTATCGATATGCAGAATGAAACTATCATATATCCAGATACAATAGTACATTGATTTTGAAGTTTACTTTAAAGGTGGGTAACTTGAAATGTACATGTTGTAAGGATATTTGTTGTTTCATCCTGGTATTTGACTTTACATTGCTACTTCTGTTTGAAGTGTAAGATGACCTGTTACTCTGTAGTAGTCATGTTGAGATTTTTCCAGCTTTTCAGACAGCCCATCAAAATAATGCAAGTAATCAAGAAAAGTTTCCTTTTGGTGTGTGTCTTTTCTAAGAGTGTGTCCTTTTAATAACAAAAGACGAATTTAATTAAGTCCATGATTATTCCTCTTTTTTGTCAATTTGTGGCCATCCCGAAAAATCCCAGAAATCCAGGAGTGTATTATACAGTCAATATATGATAATGTCACTACAATGTAGAATATATTAACAAAAATGTTGAAAATAGTATATAATTTTTCTAATCACTACTAAGGGCTAAATCTGAAATGCAAAGGATAATATTAGTTTTTTTTATAAGTTTATAGACTCCTTGTACAATTACCATATATTAAGATTAGGTTTTAAAGAAGGTTCCTACCATACCGTCGCCATGACCACCACATCGTTTCTTTGTTCAGTATCCCTTTGTTTGGAAGAATCTGTGGATGGCGGACTAAGCGGTAGTATAAATCTGTGGAACCACATTTGTCTACTCCCAAAACGTGGAAGTAAGGGAGACATCTAAGCTTTCTTGTTGTGCGGTTACCGTTCTGGTAACAAGCGTCGTAGAAACAAGGATTCTTAAACTGTTGTTCAAAGTCGGGTGGCGTCTAATAATGAAACGAGTTTAGCAACATTTTAAAATGAAAATAAAATTCAGTTAAATAATTCCCTAGCAATCTACAAAGTTTTGATTAAGTAATGTAATTAAGATTAGTCGACCCTGTGATAAGACAGGTAACTCCAAATGAGATGAAGGTTTATAATTCCTGTTTAAAATTGTCATGGTAAGAATGGCTATTATTAGTTACACAAGTTACACAGTCATTTAGGGACCTAGTCATTCTTACCTTGACAATTTTAAACAGGAATTATAGACCTTCATAACTGTGTAACTTGTGTAACTAATAATCTTGCTTCATCTCAGTTGGAGTTACCTGTCTTATCACAGGGTCGACTAATCTTAATTACAACTACTTAATTTCATTTTCATTTTAAAATGTTGCTAAACTCGTTTCATTATTAGACGTCATTTAGGGACCTAGTCATACAGGATGTGAAATGGAAATCCGTACTGGGACTCGGCTTTGCCTCACCCAATGCGGATTTCCATTTCACACCCTGTATGACTCCTTATTAGGTCCCTTAAAACTACATATGGCGTATCTGAGCTAAAAAATAAAAATACGAGATTGAGTGTAGATAAACTTGATACATGTTATTTGCGTTCAAATTTAAATTTTCACCGATTTTGAACTTGAATAACCTCTTGTTTCCATAGTTAAATTGAGTTTAAACTGTGTCTGTTAATTAAATGCAGAGTCGGTAAATAAATCGGTTATTGTTATAAATTTTTAATGTCTTTGAAATGTGATTAATTTAAATTGTGAAATTTACAGGAAAGTCCCACCTTTAAGTAATAAAACAAATAGAAAGTTCTTTTTAATTTTAGTTAGTCTGAACTTATAAAAAAAAAAATACACCATATATAACTTTAAACTGACTATCCCACTGAAGACCTTTTTTTTTTAATATTTAAAAAGAAATCTATGAGCATATCATCAAAATATGAAGTTTTAATCCAATAACAATCAACATAACACATCATAACAAGACTACAATCAAACCGTTTCTTTGCCGCCATTTTTATTTACAATAACGACCCGTCGAATGGAATCGCATGCCCGATTTTAATATTACCCCTGGACGGAGACGTAATACAGAAAAATTCAGGGCGTCATGTGATTAGTTTTTATCTAATCATTATCTACAAATTTGTCTGAAGCGGGATAAATGCTTAAATGGCATACGTTTTAATATTAATTAGATTTCTCTGATAAACTCATGTGTGTTTAAGCAAAAATTTAAATCAGTGAACAGAGGAATTATGAACCTATGAACTTATTTTTTCTTTCGTGGAAATTGAGACGTAAGTAGAAAAAAGACCAGATATTCATTTTGTACCAATTTATACTGTTGTTTGTGTAACAATATAAAAATATAAAAATGAATCAAACGTAATAATGAACACCTACTAGAGCAAACACGTCTTCTACTAAGCTGCTATTAGTGAGCGCTTGGGATTCGAAGACAGAGGAGCACCACTCTGGTTTTGTTTCTCGTGGTTTGGGTACTCCTGCCAGAGAAAAGTGAACAGAGTGTCCAAACTGAGTCATGTGGTAGCCGGTCATCAGGGCCGTCAGGACTGCTAGCAGGAGTAGACTCGTAAGGTAATTCAACAGACGTCTGTATGAGTTAGAGCCCATTCTATAGAAAATACTGTTATAAAAATGCCAATGTAATGACACCAGTTTTATATTAAGAGTCGCGTGTCGCCGCCCACAAGCGCGACTGAATCAAACATAGAGATAACGAACAGTAATCAAGCTAAAAAGTCCATTGAAACAATACAAATCGGGAGCAGAGCAAACACGGACCTCTAAAATCGGGTAAAAAACGTCAGCGAGCATGATGGATTGTATTTGCGAACAAGGTACATGTAATTGTATCGACAATAGACCTTGCGAAATGATGACTTTAAACGAGACTGTTGATATTCTTGTTTCATCAACTTGTTAGTCTGTAGCTTGCCTCGTTTTACAAAATTTTTGTACGTAGAGCATGCTCTTGATATCGAATCAACTGGAAGACATAAACCCCATATGCAAGTGATAAAGGTTTATTGCTACATTAGTAAAGGAAGCTGACGATAGAAAAGTTTAAGTCATCACGTTTTTCATGAAGTTTTGTCGTTAGGTTACCATTAACGTCTCTTTCTGGTAAAATATCTAAATATGAAATAGATGTCTCAGACTCTGTGGTATCTTTTATTTCTAGTTAACTGGGATATATCGGGTCGACATATGAATGGAAGTAACTGTTAGCTGAAGGCCACAACAAGTGTTTTCTTCTTTTCATGGTCAAGCTTTTGAATAAATTCTTCTTCATATGAATGCAAAAATAGGTCTGCTAATAACGGGGTGCAGTTGGTACCCATGGGAATTCCGACAAATTGTTGGAAGACCCGATCTCCAGAAACTACATAGATATTGTCTATCAGAGACTCAGCTATCTTTTTAATATCAATTTCAGAGTACTTGTTTTGTTTTTGTTTTTATTATTTAACGCCCCTCTCTAGAATTTTTCACCCATATGGAGACGCCACCACTTGCTGGCACTCGGGGCCATTGAGCAGTGAGGAATCTTTTTCGTGCCAGCGCCTACTGCGACAAGGGACCTCGGTTTATACGGTCTCATCCGAAGGACCGGTCTCCACGTCCCACAGTAGGATTCGAAATTATTTTGGAAATTTTAATTCTGAAAACAAATCTTTACCCCCCCCCCCCCAAAAAAAAAAGAAAAGAATTCTCCCATATCAGAATTTGATTTGGTGGGGTGTTAAAGTCCATAAACGAGGGGAGGGGCTTTCATTGAAAATATTTGTCCTTAAAATTTAAATTAAAACTTTACATTCTCAAAAAGTGGGGAGAGGGGCAGGCCTCCTGCAGCCCCCCCCCCTTCACCCAAGAATTTATGTGCCTTAATGTTAGGTTCATATGAGTGGATACAGGTGCAAGTGAAATAACTTGCCAAAACTATTTGTACATTGAACAATTTGGAATTTCCCAATCTATTTTTAGTCTAATGTGGAGAAAAATAAATCCTTATATTCACCTAGAAGGTCACGTGTAGGTGAATTTTTTCTACATTGTGGGATCTCAGCCAATCATAGAGAAAGGAATTATTCAATCATATAATAGATATTATTATTCAACAGAGCCCCGCCCTGGCACCAGAACCCCTGACCCTGTGACCATGAATTTCACAATTTTGGTAGAGGGCTCAATACTTGGTACAATCATGTCAAGAATTAGACTGCTTGATGTGTGGGAGTAAATAAGATTTTAAAAGATACCATTGATTTTAATGCTTTTAGTTCCACCCCTTACATTGTATGTCCCAAGGGGCAAGGACAATGAAAATCACAATTTTAGTTCCTCTTCATTGATGCTATACGTCAAAATTGTTTGAAATTTGTTGCGCGGTTCCTGAGGAGAAGCTGAAAATGTTCAAAGAATAAAACACGACACGCACGAAAACAATAAAGATAATAATATTGTGCATGTAGCCCTCCAGTCCTATCCTACACCCCCTTCCCCCGTAGTCATGATTTTAATAAACTTGAAACTTAGGAATCTTCCATATAAATATGACTGATCATAACTGTTATTCTTCAGAAGACTTAAAAAGTTTTTACAATATATTCTTTTGTAAAACTTTGCCCATTGTGGCCAATTATACCCTCGGGCGTCATGATTTTAACATTTGATCCTAACTACCTGAGGATGCTTCCATTTAAATACGACTAATCATGGCTTTGCTGTTCCCAAAAAGATGCTTTTTTCCAATATGTTCCTGTTTAAAATTTGATTGCCTATCATGGCCCACCCTACCAAGAAGGTCATGATTTGAACAAACTCGAATCTACACTACCTGAGAATGCTTCAAAATAAATGATATTATAATGAGTTATCATGACTTTGCTGTCATTAAGAAAATTTCAAAGATTTGTTTCCTATACATTCCTATTTAATACTTTGATCGCCCAAAGTGCCCCAATCCTACCCCAGGGTGTCATGATTTGAATCTTCTACACTACCTAAGGATGCTTCAGTATTAATATGATTAATCATGACAATGCTATTTTCTTGAGAAGATTTTTAAAGATTTTTCATATATATGTTTATGAAAAACTTTGATTGCCTATAGTGGTTCAACCCTACACCCGTGGGTCATGATTTGAACAATTTTGAATCTTCACTATCCGTGAAAACTTTCTCGCAAGTTTCATCTTTTCAATTTCATTGGTTCTTGAGAAAAAAGATTTTAAATTACCCCATCCATTTTTCACGAAGAGAGTGTGATCTATTATTTATACAAATCTGAATTCCCTTAAGGATACTCTTTGCCAAGTTTGCTTGAAATTGATACAGTGGTTCTAAAGAAGAATATGAAATTGTGAAAATTTTACAACGACGGACAACGGACAAATTTTGATCGGAATAGCTCACTTGAGCCTTCGGCTCAGGTGAACCAAAAAGTGTTTCTATATTTTCATCGTAAACGAAAATGTTCTTGATTGGATGTTAACTTTGAAATTTATTTGTATTCTTTTTGTTTTGCACACTCTCATATCGAATGACTAATGCCTTTAAAAGCTATACAGAGCCAAGAACTGCTCAAGAAGCATACGGCCTATTAGGTTTATGTCAGTTACAGGTAACTGTTTCAGGTTATAACTAAAGATGGCAAAGTTTGTTTTTGTTTTTTGAATAAAAATGCCGAACTTGTAACTTTCTGTTTTAAGTAGTTACATTTTAAAGCAAAAGCTACAAGATATATGCTTTACCTCCTAATCCAAGCGTTTGGTGTTCTCTTGGTCATTCTACAAGTTGGATCGTTCTGATAACAAGCTGTTGTTGTCTGTTTCTGATAACACACACCTTAGAAATAAAATTGAACAAGACAACTGCAAACAGGTGGTTATAAGTACACAATTCTATGGTCATATTATTGTCCTATCTTATTATCCAACTCAATCAATCGAAAGCGCGAGAGCTCTTATAAGTACTGGCTCCTTAGAATTATGTAGATGAAAGATTCTCAATGGTAACAGTCATTGCATTTTTACATGAATATTAAATACATTACGGTGCATTGCCGCTATACGAGATCTAAAATTACTCCCCTCCCCGCTACATAACTCCAGTTTTGTTTTGAATTAATTTTTAAAAATTGAGAAAATGCATAATCAAGAAAATTGGAAAGTATCTTAAAAACAATTTGAAATTTCACCTCTTAGCATTTTTCACGCGTGAAATTTCTTTAAATCCAAATATTTGACTACATAAGACAAAAGCCAAAGTTGAGATGCCAGACTTGTATAACGTTATAAATAATGTACTTCGGGTGCTCATTTTTAAGTTTCAAATAAGCGAACGTGCATATTTTAAACTGTATGATCCGATCACTGTAATCTCATTTGCCATGATCATTCATTTACAGTGTAAAAGTTTCTCATTTTCAGAAAATTACACACTCTTGTTCGCATCTGCTCCGGAGGAAAAAAATTGGAAGGATAAAAAAAAATGATAATAATCGACAGTGAATACAACGACTGCTGTTAACACACTTAACACAATAGTTTCGCTTCAGTCATAAACATGAGATTTCACGAGTGCATATTAGGACTTGGGTAAATAGCTGGTAAAACTATGAATTGTTTTACTTCGAAAGATCACACTATCCTTCTCAAAAGATCTTAAAGCTAAATATTTATGAGTTTTTGTTTTAATCAAATTAGAATTATATTTTTTAATAGCAACTTAGGCATAAAAGAAAGGATAAGTGGAAAGGTTATTTTTTCGTCATTCAGTAAAAAGAGAAAACAACTTGGAATGCACCACTTTTATCTCATATTTGAACAATTCAATAACCAATAAAAATAATTGATAGCAAGTTTGTTTAATTGATATTTGTTGTATACTAGTATTGTACATTTTATCCTGCAGGTTCTTTGCCATGATGCTCTCAAAGTGTTTGTTTATTTTCATGTATCATGGAATAATAAATCGCCTCGTTTTCCTTTTAAACATCGGGTTTGATGCCGTACGAAGTTCTATAAATTTCCTTCAAGACTAAAGATCGGGGACTGACGAAAACAATTTGCACTTCTGAAATAAATTTTCACTTTTCACAAAATATTTTTTCCCACTGAAATCAAGTTTTGATTTACGTTTTATAAAAAAAAATGCTTTTTGTCATTTTCATTAAAAATTGCAAGTAACTTGGATCCGCCAACTGTTACCAATACTGCTCTCTCTCTCTCTCTCTTGCTATTTTATCGCTGTGGATCGAAAACGAAAGTAGACATTTTTTTCGATAATTACTGTTCGAATGAAACCTTATTATAAATATAGTTTACGGACATCATCTTTTGTAATGAGAGGAATATATATGAACTCTGAGCTTCCAGACATAATGTAGATTCTAAATTCTTCAAATCATGGTCCCTGGCGGTAGAGCGAGGCCACAATACTATGTATGAACAAATCTTTCAAAATCTTCTATTAAGAATAACTGGAATAGAAAATATGAAACTTGCGTTCAAGCTTTCTTACATAAAGCTGATTCTAAAGTATTCAATTCATGGTCCCCAGGGGTAGGTTGGGGTCACAACAGTGCACCAAAGTTTTTTATGAGGCTATTTTAGACAAAGAAATTAAAATCTTCCCAAGAACCACTATAGAAACCATGTTTGCAAACATTTCTAAGGTGTGTGGATTCATTTTTTTTCTTCAAATTATAGATCCTGTGTTAAAATTGGCTACAACTGGGGTTAAATTTTAATTCATGTATACAGGGAAAAAAATCTTATGTAGGATTAATGCAAGGTATTTATTTTCAAATAGATTTTATAGCATCTCCATGTTATGTGCATTCATAGACCCCTTAGAGTTATAGGTTTGGGCCAAAATTAAGAAATAAGATATCATTTTTAAAGTTTCATTGGAGTATGACATGAAGTCGGTCACGTGATCAAATCCTAGAACGCCCGAAGGGCGTTATAGTAGATTTGATCACGTACCGACTTCATGTCATAATCCAATGAAACTCTAAACAAGAGGCCCATGGGCCACATCGCTCACCTGAGTAACTTTGGCCATGCTGTTCTTTACAAGTCCCCCCCCTTGTAATACCTATTGTGGCCCCGCCCTACCCCCGGGGGTCATGATTTGAACAATTTACAATCTACACTACCCGAGGATGCTTCCACATAAGTTTCAGCTTTTCTGGCCCAGTGGTTCTTGAGAAGAAGATTTTTCCTATATATTTCAATGTAAAACTTGGATTCTCTATTTTGGCCCCGCCCTACCCCCGGGGGTCATGATTTGAACAATGTAGAATCTACACTACCCGAGGATGCTTGCAAATAAGTTTCAGCTTTTCTGACCCAGTGGTTCTTGAGAAGAAGATTTTTAAAGATTTTTCCTATATATTTCAATGTAAAACTTGGATTCCCTATTGTGGCCCCGCCCTACCCCCGGGGGTCTTGATTTGATAATTTAGAATCTACACTACATGAGGATGCTTCCACATAAGTTTCAGTTGTTCTGGCCCAGTGGTTCTTGAGAAGAAGATTTTTCCTATATATTTCAATGTAAAACTTGGATTCCCTATTGTGGCCCCGCCCTACCCCCGGGGGTCTTGATTTGACAATTTACAATCTACACTACCCGAGGATGCTTCCACATAAGTTTCAGCTTTTCTGGCCCAGTGGTTCTTGAGAAGAAGATTTTTCCTATATATTTCAATGTAAAACTTGGATTCTCTATTGTGGCCCCGCCCTACCCCCGGGGGTCATGATTTGAACAATGTAGAATCTACACTACCCGAGGATGCTTGCACATAAGTTTCAGCTTTTCTGACCCAGTGGTTCTTGAGAAGAAGATTTTTAAAGATTTTTCCTATATATTTCAATGTAAAACTTGAATTCCCTATTTTGCCCCCCCCCCTACCCCCGGGGGTCATGATTTTTACAATTTAGAATCTACACTACTTGAGAATGCTTACATATAAGTTTCAGCTTTTCTGGCCAAGTGGTTCTTGAGAAGAAGATTTTTTAAAGATTTTTCCTATATATTTCAATGTAAAACTTGGATTCCATAATGTGGCCCCGCCCTACCCCCGGGGGTCATAATTTGAACAATTTACAATCTACACTACCCGAGGATGCTTCCACATAAGTTTCAGCTTTTCTGGCCCAGTGGTTCTTGAGAAGAAGATTTTCAAAGATTTTTCTTCCATATTTCAATGTAAAACTTGGATTCCCTATTGTGGCCCCGCCCTACCCCGGGGGTCATGATTTTAACAATTTAGAATCTACACTATCCCAGAATGCTTGCACATAAGTTTCAGCTTTTCTGGACCAGTGGTTCTTGAGAAGAAGATTTTTTAATGACCCCACCCTATTTTTGTCTTTTCTTGATTATTTCCCCTTGTAAGGGGACTTGGCCCTTTATTTTAACAATTTAAACACCCCTTTGCCAAGGATACTTTGTGCCAAGTTTGGTTAAAATTGGCCCAGTGGTTCTTGAGAAGAAGTTGAAAATGTGAAAAGTTTACAGACGGACGAACGGACAGACGGACGGACGACGGAAAACGGGTGATCAGAAAAGCTCACTTGGTCTTTAATGTTATTCTAATTCTTTTGAAACTATATATCAAGTTTGGTGTTGTAACACTATGAAAATATGCAATAGTTGATTTGTATCTAAAATCTTGTTAACACATTCAATCACTAGACCCCGACTCCCAGTAATATCAACGTCTAACTTAATTTACAGAATGTTCCACTCCCACGAGTACTTTCAGTACTTTGATTTGTTTGTTTTACTCTCGTAGTTTCTTTACTGAGCCAATGCAATTTCAATGATCGTTGTTCTTACGTCGCTCAAAGGGAGATAATTTGTGTACAGCCAGATATACCTTATGCAAATTTCACAGCAACACAGCTAAGCATTTGTAAGATAAGTTTAATTTAGAGATTTCTAGAGGGTAGTGGTGGGATAATCTATAAAAGGTTATTTACAAACAAACTTACTCTGTTTCTTTCAGGCAACGAAGGCACATACATGCATAGTGTTGCAAATGCAACATGTGTACTAAATTTGCATCATCAAATTTAACATTATAAAGGAGCAGTTAAATTTAAGAATTGAAGACATTTTAGAAAAGGAAACGCATCTTTTTTGGCCCGTAGAATACGTGGATGTAGCGGAGTAACGAACGACGGTGCATACTTTTTAGTCAATATTATATTAATGCTTTAAAACCGAGGGCGTGACATTAAAAAAATAAACATTCAAGCTCCGTTCATTTATCTATCGCTCACTGAACTGGACACTGTGTATGTATTAGATGCTGAAGGCTACATCACTCACTAGACCAAGTACTGTTCAATCCTTTGAAGGTAAAGGAAATTCTCGATGATTTTAAGTTTTTCCCCAGATATTTTACAAAGGTGTCGAACTAGGCTTGTTTCCTAAAATCGGTAAGTCAAATCCATAGTTAGAGTCAGCAGCTGTACTAATATGGCCATGAAAACAATATTTTTTTTCTTTACCCAATCATCTGTATTTTTCATTGATTGCCGCCTTTCACTGACGAGGGCGTCTCCTGCAAAAATTTATTTTTTTGGACAACACTTGTCATGTAAAGACCACTCCAACTGTGTGAAGATATACCAGATATACAAAATTAACTAATCGATATGTAATGGATATATGCCGAATACAGTTCTGTATGAAAAAATATCAAACTGTCTCATTTTTTTTCATACAGAAATGAATGAGGCATATATCGTACTTAAAACATTATACATTTATTGAAGATTGTCTGCGGATGATAATTCCCTTCAACAATCATCATACATATACATGTA